TGCTGCTGCTGCTGCTGCTGTTGCTGCTGTTGCTGCTGTTGCTGCTGTTGCTGCTGCTGCTGCTGTTGCTGCTGGTGCTGCTGGTGCTGCTGCTACTGCTACTGCTGCTGCTGGTGCTGCTGCTGATTAACTTAAGGCCGAGGGAGATGACTGTTAAAACTACATAACGGCCTTATGATTTCAACGACCCCAAAAGCAGCCTTTCTCCATATACGGCATTTCCGTCACCGACGCGCTGTTAATCTTCTCCAGCGACTGAGCCGACAGCAATGGTACCGAGTTATATCCTGAGCTCGCCTCATCCACAACACTCCATATAATCGAGTTAAAGGGTCGGACCAGCGCATCGGTGACCTTCTTGCTGGCCATTTTACATGACGCCTTTCAGCATGCTGATTAAAATTGCCGCACTTGTCTATCAGAGTGTATCAATTCTACGTTGATTTTTTTTCCTTGTTCCATCACAGTTTAACAAGACTCACTTTGCAGACCGAAGGAGCTGCGCTAAGAGTATGGCAAGTACTGGATGCGGCCGATGATGCTGAATTTGGGCACAAAAATGCAAGCGTGATGATGGCGATGCCGAAGCTTTATCTGTGGCAGTGGAATAAAACTTTCAATCAGTCGGGTACTTTTGCAATCACCGATTCCATTTTACAGGGTTTGTTTTAAGCTTACCTTTTGGATTTATTAATTTCAGAACATGAAAAGTATGGTTGAAATTGTCAGATACTGTTTCTTGCATTGATGAGGTGCCAAATTTTGCGCAGGGAAGAAATGCTAAAAAAAAATTTTTTTTTTCACACGAAAATATTAAACACACAAAAATTTTGTTTTAAGCAAACAAAAAATTTTAAACACACAAAACTTTTTTTAGACAAAAATTTTTTTTTCAAAAAATTTTAGCTAAAGAAACACGAAATTTGCTACTGGTCCCAGGGGCCATATCTTTGACGTGGAACAAAATGAGTGAAGTCAGATAGTGTTTTTCAGGAAAAAGTCCCAAAATAGAGAGGAATGAAGAAGTTAGCTGCATCAGTGACGAGCAGAAACATGCCGCAGACACAACAGCTGACCGAAGTAATTCATATTTGTCAGATATGTAATAGGAAATAGAAAGATGTATTAACAACGGATGAAAGAAGAAGAGTAGTACTGCCGGAATCCCTGAGTACCTGTGAAAAGCATAAAAACGGACGCAGTACGTTTTTCGGCTGAGACTGGGATCCGCTGATTTTTTTTTCATCAAAAAAGTTGTTATTTTATGGAAGAAAATTTGAATTTCTACTCAAAATTAATTTTTTGTTCCATTCCAGACACAGTTGAACCAGGCATCGAAGCGAGTCCAAGAACCATGCAAAATGGCTTATCAGATGACGGACCATCTGTGTCGAGTTCAGCGGAACAGCACGATTCGAAAAGTACCTCATCTTCAGCTCTGCCCGGAGCAGCTTTGAATCTTTTGTTGGAAATACTCAACGATTGGGAGCTACGTGATTTGGTGATCGAGAAGCACCAGACGGCGTTCGAAAATTACATCCAGGAGACGATTTCTGGAAGTAATTCTGCTACAGAATCCCCCTAATTTGTAGTTTGTCAAAAAATTCCCACACTTTCTCGTTTCCATTTCGAACGGTAAATGACATTGGGATGCGCAACTTTTGAGCTTTTTTTGCCATATAGTGTGTTTAGCACAGCCATCTGGACTGAGAGAGTTTACTAGCTTGAAATTCTCTGGGAAAATTTCGTCGTGCGCAAAAGAATAAGGAGGTTTCAACTTTTTTACTATCTGAAAATATTGTTTTTTTTTTGTAAAATATTTTTCGCGGGTACTTCTAAATGTTTTTTTTGTGGGTGGGGAGAGAAGGAAGG